AAGTCGGACGCTTAACCGACTGAGCCACCCAGGCGCCCCTTAGTCTATATCTTTTAGCAAGTGATTCCACTCTCAAACTGCAGTTCATCAAGACCGGTGTATTTGTAGAGGGGCAGAGTCCACAGCTCTGTTGGCAAAAGCGCTGATTTGAGGGTTAGAGAAGTCCACTTTTGTTTTTCCCATTTTCTATTTAATCTGGAGATTAATGACCAGGATTTCAAAAACGAGTGAATTATTTGCCAGAGGAAAAGCATACTGGACAGCACACGCCAAGTTGCATTTTATGGGATCGCTGATGTTAAGATCCTACCGGGTGGTATTTTACGAGGTTTCTTAACTGTCGTAGTGCTGACAGGCCCCACCTTCTGGAAGCCTGGCGGCTAGACCTGGTGGGTATGGACAGAGGAGGCCTCTCTGGTGCTCCGCATCAGCAGGGGCCATGTTGCCTTGCAGGAGCTGGGGTGGCACTTAGTGATGTGATCTTGTGAGCGTCTCGTGGTCCTGCTCTCTCTGGGAATGAAGCGCCACAGGAAATATTTTGTGGTGCACCCTGTGCATGATCAGGAACCTCAGTCGTGTGCAGAAATGGCCTGTGGCTGGTCACCTGAGGGAATCAGCTAGTAGGAGGCATTCCAGCAGAACACACATGCGGGGGGCTCCCGTGTCTCCTGAGGCAGCCGTGCTTAGTGTCTTTCTCCGTCTCCATCTCTTCTCCGCTCCACTCTCTACATCCGTTCTCTCCGTTCACTGCTTTTCTTTCCTTCTCCCCTTTCCCTCCCCCCCATCCTCCCTCTCTGCTCTTCTGGATCTGGGGGCGGCTGACGGGTCTGCCTGATGGGATGTGTGTTGGGCCTCATCCTCTGGCTCGTCGTCATGGGTTTTCCTGGCCCTTCTTGACTCCGGCCTGCAGCCTCCCATCCCAGGGGGGCCAGCGTGTTTCTCTCCGGGAGCAAGGCGTGTGGGTCTTTGGTGACTGCTCTGGACGTTAGTTGATCTGGCCATGCCAGGGGCCCTCCCCGGGCGGCAGAAGACTTTCTAGTCCTCACATTGCCCCACGAGCCCCGAAGGTGGGCAGCTTTCCCCCGAGACCTCTGCTAAGCTTTCCTCTCAATCGTGGTTGTGTTCTTCCTCTCCCAACAAAGGCCATTGTCTTTTTGATTCCAGATCGAGGAGACTCGGCTCAACATAGACAAGATCTCAGAGCACGTGGAGGAGGCTAAGAAACTCTACAGTATCATCCTGTCCGCACCGATTCCTGAGCCAAGTGAGCGTTTACTCGGAGCTGAGTTGCCTGGCGATGGCCCTTGGCATTGGGGCTGAGCCAGCCCTGTTTTCCTCTCTCCTGGGAGGGGCGGGGAGCGTCCGGCCCACACTGCACACTATGCACACGTCGTGTCCTCTTTCCCTTCCCTCCCGGCCCAGCTCTTCTCTTCGTGGTCGGGGCCACTGAATCCTTGTGGCCAAACGCTCCTCCCCCTCCCATCCAGTCCCTCTCGTGACCTGTGGTGAGGCTTCCTGCTTCTCACGTTCCTCATCTCCGTCCCATGGCTGTGCCTTTGCGGGTACTGTTTCCCAGCCCCCTTCCATATCCTGCCAGATCAAGGCCATCTTCTTTCCCTGAGCTGTTCCAGAATGGGTCAGGCTCGCTTCAGTCCCTCCCATCCCGAGAGTCCCGTCTGTTACCGCCAGCCCGGCAAACTTTTTCACGTTTTTCCAGTAGGGTTCCAGGCTGTATTTTAGGTTCCTTAAGGACAAGGAATGAGCCAGATGCTCTGTCATTTCACTCTGAACTGTTCAGTGACTCTCTGGTGCCTGAAGGTTAAAGGTGGAACGTTTCAGCAGAGCACGTGGGACTTGTCTCGGTCATGGGCCTGCCCTTCTCTGCACCCTTTTCTCCCGCCACCCTCCCCCATGTCACCCACACTTTAGCCAGACTCAACTCCGGTTGTTCCCCACATGGTTCTTGTCTCTTTGCATCTTTTACATACGGTCCCATCTCCCGGAGACTCCACTGTTCGTCTCCTTTTGTGCCTGTTGAACACTTCCTCCTTCGTCAAGACTCGGTCTTACTATCATCTGTCTTTAGAAACCTTTCCAGATCCCTCCAGACTGTGCTAGAGGCTCTTCACCAACACCCTGTGCACACCTTGGCCAGAACTCACACCTTACTCCACACTGCACATTAGAATGGCTGATTTATTTGTCCCTTGTCCCCCATTAGGCCCTGAAACTCTTGAAGGCAGAATCTATATCTTCTCTCTGATGTGTAGGTATCTAGCTCAGTTCTAAGCTTGTAGCAGGTGCAAAAGGATTTTTTTTTTTTCCAATGTTTATTTTTGAGAGAGAAAGAGAAAGCAGAGAGCAGGGGAGGGACACAGAGACTCCCAAATAGGCTCCACACTGTCAGTGCAGAGCCCGACATGGGGCTCAAACTCACAAACCCTGAGATCATGACCTGAGCCAAAGTCGGATACTTAACTGACTGAGCCACCCAGGTGCCCCTAGGATGGTTCTTCAATGAGTAGTCATGGCTCATACTTACTTTGCTCCATTCATCCTAGAATAGCATCGTACACATAGTAGGTATGTCATAAATATGTGTCTGAACCTAAATCGATGAACCTTGGTTGAAATCCCTTTTCCTCAGAGGTCCCATGAAACCCTCACCTACCTTTGAGCTGAAACCGTCATGATAAACCAGATGATTTCCTCAAAAAGGAAGCTCATAATTTGGTGTGCCAGAGAATTACTTGGGAAAGCCTGTGAAAAAGACAGATTGTAGGGCTCCAACCCTGGGTGTTTTTATTCTATAGGTCTGGGACAGAGTGCCTGGCAAATGTCCCTTAAATAAGCTGTCTGTGACTCCAGTGACAGATGACTGGGGAACACCTCACAGTAAATAAAGACTGCTCTGAGAAAGCTCCCACCTCCTCTGTTGCCTGGAATAGCTCACAAAGCCAGGAGTCTTGCTGACTGATTCTGTCTGTCTTTGTTTTACCCAGAAACCAAGGACGACCTAGAGCAGCTCACGACCGAGATCAAGAAAAGAGCCAACAACGTCCGGAACAAACTGAAGAGTAAGAAGGGAACAAGCCGGCCTCTGCTACTGCCCCCCTCTTACCCGCGGGGCCTGGCTCTCCTGGACCGAAACGCGTCCTGGTGATACACCCGTCCCCCCTCAGCCTGTGGCTTGGGCACTGCCCCAGAAATTCTGCCCGTCTCGGAACCAGGGCCGTAGGTGAAAGAGAGCAGAACTGGTGTATGCTTCCGGCGGCCGAGTCGCCGTGAGACTCCACGCTCCCACTTCGTCCCTTGACTTTACCGGTCCATTTCCCCAGCCCCTACGTACATGTGAACAGTAATGCCCGCGCTGTCTAGGTGCAGAACATCTTATTCTTCCGGCTACAGACATTTCTTGGGGGGCCAGGTCTGCGGCCCTCCCACCCCCTCCCACCCCTTCAGTTTAGACCCTTGTTCAGTGCGGCCGTCGTCATAGACGGAGTTCCCCTGGGGCCCCAAAGCATTTTCGCCCAGTTGGTTTGGGAATGCAGACTGTCGGTCAGAGGGTGGAGGCAGCATTTATATTTCTTCCCCCCTAAACAAATCACACACCTGTCCTCGCGGGTGGAGGTGGGGGTCGTTAGGGGTGGCTTCCAGGAGTCGCTAGGGAGTGTGCGAAGCACGGTGCACATTCTCGTTTGCTGCGCACGTGGGTGCCGTGAGGGAGGCATTGTCCTTACTCCGTTCTACAGACCAGGGAACAGGAACACTAAGAGAGGGAACGTGGCCTCCCCGGAGTCCCGCAGCTAGGGGGTGGCAGGACGAGGATGTGAGCCCGAGTCTCCCGGTGACAGAGACTCTTGCTGAGAGCCACTGTGCTGAGATACAGTCAGACGAGAGCTGGTACAGGCAAGGCCGTGGCCTGAAGGCCTGCGGCTCACACGTGAGCTGACATCTCAAGATCGCAGGTGTCTCTTGCACCCCTCGGTGCGCTGGGTGTGAGGAGGCGCGGGGAGCCGGGCACCGAGCAGCGTGCTTCCTGGGGGCGAGGGCAATGTGCTGCTGGCATAGCCTTGCTCTGCCCTGCAGGTATGGAGAGGCACATTGAGGAAGATGACGTGCGGTCGTCGGCAGACCTTCGGATTCGGAAATCCCAGGTAAGACTTTCCCTGGTCTGACGCTTGTCTTGTCCGGTCTTAATTGTTTTGTTCTTAGCTGTGGAGTCGTATTTTATTTTATTTTATTTTATTTTATTTTATTTTATTTTATTTTATTTTATTTTATTTTATTTTATTTTATTTTATTTTGTTGTTTTGTTTCATTTTGTTTCATTTTGTTTCGTTTCGTTTTGTTTTAGTTTTATTTTACTTTAGTTTGTTTCATTTTACTTTAGTTTGTTTTACTTTATTTTATTTTTTTAAATGTTTATTTTGAAGAGAGAGGGAGAGAGAGAGAATCCTAAGCAGGCTCTGAGCTGTCAGCACAGAGCCCGAGGCAGGGCTCAGACCCACGAACCGTGAGATCATGACCTGAGCTGAAGTCGGACACTTAACTGACTGAG